TGACGTCCAACAACCCCAACAAAGGATGAGAACCTTTACATAGAAACCCTGAGAACCTCAGAGGTATGTGGCTACAAGTGCGGCGGCTCTCGGAGCAAGCATCGGCAGAGGGCAGCTCAGATATGGCCAAACCATATCATCCAACTGGCCTGGTCCATGCGGAGCTGCCTCAAACTTCTCCGAAGGCTTGAGCTGTGGGATTCTGGGATTGCCCCTTCATGCTTTATAAGCTCTGGGAGCACTGGATGTTACTGGGTCAACTGGGGGGCGCTGCGAAACTTTGGCTTGCGGAGCTTCATTGCGGCCAAGCTGCCGTTCCACGCGGGCCTCTGGAAAAGAAGGGACATGGAGGGACTGAAAGGAATCAGAATACTTCATAACCTTGAAGGGCTGCAACCTTGGAGGGCTGCAACCCACAGAGCTCTGATGAACTGTCGGCTGGCCTTCCGCGCGCGAGCAACGCAACTCTCGAGCTCGGAACATCGGTCCTATGGCGAGATAAAGGCAATCAGCATACATCTTGGCAACATTACACCATGTTACACCTACGGCCTGGCATGGCACTGTGCGCCGCGCGTCATGCCAGTAGGACAGAATATTGCTAGCAGTCAATGGTCCTCGATTGAAGCTGGGCGTGGGCTTGCTGGGCTCTGGCCTCACGCAGCGCACGTCGATGTCACGAGCCGAACCGGATAGTACCGGTATCGCACAGAATGCAAACGTTCGACGCGCAGTTTTACGCTGGAGAAAAGTGACATTGCAATCGGAATGGGCATCCTGTATTGTCAAGCACAGAAACGGCAAACTTGAGTCATGATGTTGCATGTTTTTTAGGCGGAATCACGATCTGCACTCAGTTCAGGCGATTCTTGAAGACACAAAGTGTGATTACATTTTTGGTCCACGACAGACAAATGACACGTGTCACACAAAACTGTGGAATCCAGATCCAGCAGGCTCCGTGTACGAATCAACTTGCAGCAAACTGCTCTACTGAGCCCAGAGCATCGAGCTGATGCTTTAAATCACCCGATGGTGATCAGTCTCAGAAACTTTCGGAAAACTCGGGTGCCGCACGTGGCCCAGGAGAGTAGCTGGCAGGCCGAGGAGGGGGCCGAGGCCTTCAGGGGGGGGGGGGGGGGGGGGGGGGGGGGGGGGGGGGACGCGAATCCGGAAATTTAGGGGTGCCGTTTTTGAAAGTTGTGACTTCTCGCCTCCTTCTGGGACTGGAGCGTGGTCGACTGGCCACCTGACAAAACGGAACGGAGCGCTCCAGTGCAATGCCGCAGCGTTGCGTGCCCACGAGGGTGCCTCTGCCACAGCAGCCGCAGCTTCGGCATCGTTGCCGGCCCTCCCAACAACACAGGAAGCTTGAGGGAAAGTCCTTTAAACCCATAACCTCACAAAACCCCCACAGATCCCCACAAACGTGAGTGTCTCGGCCTGGAAGCTTCGGCCAGCAGCTCGGCCACGAGGCTGGGCTCCTGCGATGGAAAAAATTGGGGCCTTTTTGGGGAAGTGTTGGGGTATCGCGATCGCTGCGGCCCCACGACTCCCAACAACTCCCAACTGGAGTCCCGCCATGAGCCGTGTTAATCAATAAGTGGGCTGCTAACTGGAGTCTGGACACGTCTGAACAGTCAAATTTGGTAAAGTCACATCAGATGAAAATGATGGAATCCAAACGGAATCAAGTGACGAGATACCAAGTGCTCAACATGGCATGTTTCACAGCTCTGGTCTCTTAGGCAAGAATGACTCGACGATACATTAAGTTTGTCTATGGATAAAGAAATCTGACTCTGCATCTACGGCATCTGTTCCTGATCTGGAACAAGCCGTGCTGTGTGCAAATTCGTGCGCGCTCCACCAGATTTAAATTTATCGGCCTGTACAAAAGTGGTTGGGCGCATCCTCCATGAAGCTGCACCTACACAATCAGTTCTCCCAGAGTACACTGAATGCCATGCTCAGAAAACCATACCATCAAATAAATCTTCCACCTGGCGAGAAGCGTCTGGAACAAGCAGACCCGGATCGGGCCTCCTTCCCCCTAACCCAACCCTTCCCCCCATGCCAAATTTTCTGACGCCACCCCCCCCCCCCCTGTGGGAACCCCCCCAATCCCTTGGAGGAGCTGCAAACCGCTGCCGTGGAGGGTCCCGCTTGTCGGTGGCTCCTACAGGGGGAGTCCCCCGACCCCCCCCCCCCACCCGCTCTGCCCTTACAATTACATGCTCTTTCCGCCTGGACTCTCACCAGATGGTATTTCGCAATCGTTTCTTCATAATAGTGGCTTGTAAAAAGCCAAGCCAGCACCACAAGAAGCCAACTCATTGACATGCAGAGAACCTGGAATGACTTCCTGCCCACGGGTGCGTCACTCCCTCTGGATTTGGCAAATCCAACTACGGCCGATGTCGCCCTGTAAAGACATGGAACGCGTAGAACAACATTTCCACGCGTTTACAACCTATTGTAAACCCGTGCTCAATCCTGCTAGTTGAAGTTGACCTAGGGCTCTGCCTCTCACTGGGCGTTTTTTGGCATAGGGCGGCGAGAACGGTGGTCCTCGGGCTCGGAATCGTCCGAGACGTCCGCAGCCTCCGGACCTAGTGGGGAAGGGGAAGGAAGAGATCCGAAATGTCATCACACAGTACAAAGAGTACCGACCTAAATCAGGTGCCTATTTCGGAACATCTCATGCTACGGGCGGGCCATGGCGGGCCTGTATCTTCAAGCTAGAATTGCCCCTCGGGAGTCCGGCTGCCGGGGCTACCGTCGTTGGCACCCGGCCCGAGTGGCTGGGAGGTCATAGCGACCATTGGACCTGGCCTCAGACTCATATCTTCCTAATCGCGCTTCTAGCTTTTGAGGGCTTCGATGGCTTCGAAGTTCGAGTGTCTCGACACAGGGCTTCAAGGGTTTTCCGCGCTGAGCACCGCACCACTCCCAGCCGGAGAGGTGCAGGGCCGAGTCCGGGAGCCCTGAGCATCACGGAGCTACGGCCTACGCCCACTTCCTGCTGACTTCCACGGAGCGTTCACAGAACTGGCCTGGCCTTGTGGGCCCAAGGGCTTCAATGAAGTCGCATGACCTGCACCCCAATGGGAGCATCAGAAAAAGCGTGCGCCGGACAGGCGTACATCTGGCTTCATCTGGCAACGACACAGGGGAACGGGGCAAGATGAGGGGGAACACGAGGACGCATCAGGGGCTACATACCATACAGCCGTAGCCAAATAAAGCCACGTGTGAAGAACTGCCGGAGCCTGCCAAAGCTTGCTGCGTGAGCGTCAGCTCTTGCAGAAGGTAGTGCCTGAGTTCGGGTCTGTGGCTGCTTGGGGCTTGATGGCACGCCTCGGCGCTGCAATTTAGCTTATGCTCAACTTCGACAATGTACAGCTGAGGGCTATACATATATGTACATACATAAATGAAAAGTAAACGCTACGCATTGCGATTCTTTTTGAATACACCTGCATGTGTACTGGGGCCTGGCCTGGGGCCCCAGGACCAATAACTTGGAGAGCTGACCAGGGCTTCTTACCCCGAATCGGAGAAAGACGCCCCCTCCCAAATTCTCCCAAGCCGTCTAAGCACGGGGCCAGGACGCCCCGCAGCTCCCTCGCTGGACCTGCTCGGCGACCACCCTGCGCTTCGGCCGAGACCGGAAGACCTTCGAAAGCCTTTACAACCCAATGGAAACGACCACCAACACCATTTTCTTCAAGCGCGACCGGCAAATGACCTCTACAAAAGCCCCAGCTCATGTCCCCGTGACATCTCCGGGAATCAGTTTTCCGCCGCCCACAGAAGTACCGTAGCGGTTGGCTCAAAGGTTCCTCGTTTCATGACGGGGTGCAGCTGAGTGCTCACAGCGCTCAAACCTGCAGGAACTATATAGGCCTTTTCCTGTCGAGCGCACGGGGCTTCGAACCCCAGCAGCAACAAAAGAAACCTGAAATATACTGAACCAATCTGAACCACACAGCCGGCATCAACCCATGCGCCTCTGCAGATTCTCGAGCACAGCGAGCTCCTTGCCTGAAAGATCCGTGGGAAAGTCGGCAGAAGTCAGGGCAGCACAGCTTTCACAGGAGAGCTCAACCAGTAATCTACTGCTCCCTAAGCCCCTAAGCCCCTAACCCCAAACCAAACTGTGAAATTCCTTCGAATCTCCATCCTAAAACCCCACAGAGGCTTTACAGCGCTTCTGGCCATTTTCTGGGCCACCTTCAGGGGCGTTTTGAAGGTGGCTGCAAGGGGTGGAGGAGTCGGGGCCCAGTCAAGTTTCGGGAGTTCCCCCTGCGCAGATGCACACATCTCGGGCCTCGGCACTCATTAGACCCCTACACTTGTCAACCACTATTGTCCCAATGCCACAAGTACTTCGTCGCTGTCTCTGAAAAAAACCAAACGCATCTTCCGACCAGGCGAGTAGGGTCATTCCTGTTCACGATGCCCGGCACTTGTGGCCAATTAACGCGCCGAACCCTGTCAGGACAACTTGTGTATGTACAACGATTACACTTTGCGCTGGGCGCAGCTGTCTCAAGAGCACCCCTCAGATATCGTATGACATCGTAAGACTTCGATACTCTGCGTGATTTACCGATCTGTACAAAGTCAGACACAGGCCCCACATTGAAACGCCAGGAACAAGCCGAGTCTTCGTCTGGAACGTGCGCGCGCCCGTTGTGAAGGAAAGCTCAACTCGGCTCGCACGCACTTACTCTCGGCGACTTTATGAAAAGCGTCCCTGGTGACTCTAGTGCCCGGTAGAATGCAGTGGCCCTGCCGCTCACATCGTCAACACAAAGTCCTACTTAATGACTGACAATTAATATACTACAGTTTACTGCAGTTTACTGCAGTTTACTGCAGTTTACTGCAGTTTACTACAGTTTACTACAGTTTACTACAGCCCAATGCTACAATGACAAACCTGCAAGTTTGACTCCGAGGGGCGCGCCAGGACCAGCCCTTTCCTTGGAGCTTCACAAGCCCAGGCACCGCCGATATGCGGCTCTGGCAGCCTGACATCACTCACACCCGGACTCACTGGCTGATGTTAGTCACTTAATTTACCATATGGGTTCGGTGAAAGACTTTCAGTATCTCACGGTCTCTCAGAACGGTTCAAGAACATTCTTCAGAAACCCATCCGCAATCAAACGCATTCAAAGTGGTTTAAGCTGATGTCTCAATATTAATATTGCTGAAGCTGCCGAAGCTCTCTGCATCGCTCGGCGCTGGTCACAAAACACCAGGCATCAGAGGCATCAGTCTCCTCCCTGCGTCTTTGGCGTCCCCGGCCGCGAGAGCCATGCGAAGCGCTGCCGACGTTGCCGGCGTTGCCGACGTTGCCCGAGTCGCAGGGCTCGATGGCTTCGGAACACCGGTACGGACAGCTGGCCGAGACTTTGAACCATCGGCTCAGGCACGTGTGATGGAAGACGTGGCCACAAGGCAGGCGGCAGAGGTCCTTCGCGCCTTTCAGGTCGTCCACCCTGTTCGTCTTCAGCTCCGTGGCTTCCGTGTGTGGCATCTGCTCCAGGCAGATCGGGCAGGATCTGTCGCAAGGCGACAAGGAGAGGTCATCTTTGCAATCTTTCTCCTTCTGTGGCCTCTGTCGTTTGTGGCTGCATAGGGCCAGACTGACAAAGACCACCAGCAGGAGACCGCCCATGCAGGTGGGGTTCTCCAGCGTGCTCTCCGAGACCATCATGGCCAGTACAATGCCCGATCAAACCGGCTAAAATTTGCCAACAAGCGGCTTGCGGCTTACCTTTAAAAACACCTCCTTCTTAAACGTCACGTTGCGCCAACTGCTTGGGGTTTAAGTCGGGGGATTGTGCTGCGGAGGTTTTTCAGGTGCCTCGACGCTGCGGGCCCGAAATGCGTGTGGATCTCTACATCCCTACAGCTACACACGATCCGCAAAAATAGCGCTGGGCACCAGGCCGGGATGGGATCCACGCGCCACCTTCTTCTGGCACCTCTTTTGAAACATCGCCCCAGCTGCAACCGCAACCCGTTGCCAAGGATGAGTCGGGCGTGGCACTTTTGGAGCAAGGAGACCTGCGGCACGGCCCCGGTTTCGCGTCTCATGATTCTTCTTCCAGCAGGCCTCTTGAATTAAAGACTTGCGCGTGAAAGAAGCATAAGGCGAACGCCAGCTCACGAAACAGCCCACGGAAGTCCGGGGAAACCTCGCAGGAATCGAGACGCGCTCAGCAATGGCATGGGACACGACTGGTGCTGAGCGCAGCGCTGGCGACGGCCGGCAAGGTGTGGGCACCGCACAGAGGCCACCAAATCCACCAAATGCCTGGAGCCACAAGTTGCCACAAGGAGGCCACGTGAGCCACGAGTGTACCCGCAACGAGTTTAGGCCAGTTTAGGCCACACTCTGCAGCTAGTACCGAGCCTGATCGCGCCCGGAAGTTCTAAGAGCTTTCGAATTTGCGCGAGATGTGTTGACAGTTGACATCAAGTCATTGTCCCCAGATCTCTCAGAGCTGTGATATAACCTTCTGAACCATTTCTGTTGCAATCTTGCACCTGGCCCCACAAAGTGCTTGATCATCCAGACACCAACAACTTTATGCAGCCCTGGTTTCTTACAGCGCGGCGTATGTATCATCTTGGCAAAGTCTTGGCAAAGCCCCCAGAGCTCCAGAAGCATCGAGAAACCCATCCAGCAACACTCCAAACAAAAACAAAGTTTTAAAAAGACACTCCGCCGCTTCTGAGGCTCGGGCCCAGGGCATCGGCGCTGCGGGCGCAGCGCCAATTGGGGGCTGGAAAGGAACCGGTGGAGGTCCCACTGGGCCTACTCTTCCGGCCAGGAACGAGGATCCCAGCCGCTGCCTGAGCACGGGGGCCCCGTACATCTTGTGCCCCTACCCTAGCCTTAGCTGACAACCCTCACTGCTTTGCACAGCTGTGGTGTGGGCCGATGCGGGGTCAGCTGCGTCTCCGCCTCTGCCACGATAACACCTTCAATCTTCAAACAGTGGCAGACAGGGCTCTTCAAAGAAGCGAGAGATGGACAGTAATGAACACGTGTGGCGCGAATGCAGCCTTCCCCCAGACCTGCCCCCAGACCCACCAAACCCGCCCAATCCGGAACGGCCCCCATCTGCCACACTGCCCGGCGGTTTGGTCCGCTTCACTCGCTCGTTTTGGGGTCGTGGGAATTTCAATATCAATAAACCAAGATTCATGGAGGCCTAAACAATGGCCAACCTAAAGCCTACAACTGTTGCAGGCTACCTGTAGACACGTGGCAATGCATCCTGTGCACGGGAAGGTCGCAAGTCTTCACGTGAAACGAGAACCATTTTGAGAAACGGAACAGCTGGCCTGGCGGAGCGTTACAGTTAACCACCGAAGTCATAGCAAAAACTGTTGGGCAAGCCAGGCCCCATTGAACCGCCCGCTACGCTTAGAGAGTCCCAACATCCCCATTGAATCGCGGCCAAAGAGTGTGTTTTTTGGAAGCTGACCTTTCCCAAAACAACCGAAAGGAGTCATAACAACCACCTCCCTGCCCTTGGAACCGCTGCTTCAAGAACATGGCAGTGAAGGAAAACCTGTGTTTATGAGAGGTCATTGTGATAAGGTATGATTTCTGGGCCTGCGCGAGGGTTTGTGGGCCTCCGATCATTCAATTCAGACTTTCAGGTGAAGCCCTCGGTGCCTGTGTACATTTCCTCTGTCATTTGCGCCATGAGAGCGTTGTTTTCTCAAAGACGCTCCAAGTCACCAGTGTGTCATCAATGTGTCATCAGTGCATCGGATGGCTGCGAAATGGCGGCCAGGTTCCAGTCGGACTTGAATCCCAAACCGTTGTGCTGCTCGATGCGCCACGATGACTGCACCACAGCACAGACAGAGACTCCACAGATGCATGGCCTGCGCTTGAGCTCTGAGAACATGGCGACCTCGGAAGTGGGCAGAGATGGATAGTGACAAGGCCCCACTGAGCTATGTCTTAGAGCGGTGTCCCAAAGCTGTGTCCCAGGGATCAAGCACAGGGCTCGGCAAGGTGTCGCTCGACCTAAGGGGCCAACATCGACCCCCACGAATCACCTCATCGGAACACGCCTCTGAGCCTCTTGCCAAGAGCCCGGTCCCTGGCCGGTGGCTTCTTGAGAACTGCTGGAGGAGAGAAGCTATAGACACGGGTGGCGACGACTCCAAAAATGCAAGGGAGAGGGAGAGAGAGTTCTGACAATGGCCTGCCTCGGGCGAGAGAACCGGAATGCCGCCCACGAACATGGGCAGGAATCGGGCACCGACCTCTTCATCTCTAAAGTCGCTTAGAGCCCATAATGCCTCAAAAGCCAACCAGAGTTGCTGGGCAAAGTCTTTGAGAAAGCAGGGTTTCGGGCTCGCAGCCAGCCGTCGCCCTCGTCCAGGCCAGCAACCTCGGCACATTAAGGGCCCATATGCGGCCGATATATTCTGCACACCAAGGGCGAACGATCCCAAAATGCGACGACGAGCACATCCACAATTCGGCTGCGAGTTGACACATAGTGACACACAAAAACATGGACTCCTGTCTTAAACCCGACGGTCCAAACACGAGTCAGGGCCCTGATGGATCCTGAGAAATTTGCAGTACCTCTACATGCTACATGCTAGGCCATCCATGTTGGGGGGGCAATTGTGCAACTGCGCAACCAGGTGCGAAAGAACAACAGCACTGAAACGCAACAATGCCTGCGTAGCGAAGCAACGACAACAGCCCTATCAGCAACTCGTGTATCTGCTTGGTTTCCTTGCCCTGAACTCTCGAGCTTTTCAAGCTGCGCCGAGGCAAGGTCGGAGCTTCCCCACACAGCCACGGCACCAGGGATCATGTCCTGTCTGTTAGACTCAGGACTTTGAACATACTCTGAACCCTCTCTGTTTTTGTGTACCTTTTGTTTTCTGGGCCTCTCTTCCCTGTGCACACGACAGGCCTGCAAGTCCTTGGTCCGCCGAAAGCCCAGCCCTGCCATGCCAGGGATGGATAAAAAGAAGGGATGTGTCTGTGCTTCAGTTTAAGTTTAGGCTTTTGGCAGGCTTGGATACGGCCTAAACACCTTGAACAGTTGGCGGTTAATTGTGGTTGACAACGCTGGGGTCTCTCAGCTGCACCCATCTCAAGATGCTGGGAGAGTTGGCCTTTGGACTCGGCCCTGAGGAAGCCGTTGTCCACGCGGAAGCGTTGGCCCTGCGCGTCCTGCGCCGAGCTACAGTTGCCGGACTGCAGATCGTCGATGCTCTGAGCGAAAACTACAGCCGCCCCGTCCAGCGTGCCAGGCCTTGGCTCATGACCTTTACAGGACGAGCGCTTGGGCTTTCGCTTCGCTGCAGCTCGAGCGCGTGCACACAGACATTTTGCACAGACCGAGTGGTTCACCCTTGCCATCACGCCGCAGCCTTGGCGTCCAGGGTTATTTTGGGAGCTTGGACTACAGGCGGCACCCAAGGGGAAGGTGCTGGTGCCACAGTGCCAGCACAACCTAAGCCCCTGACCGGCTGTGCAGCTTGTGGAGGTGAGCCTCCGAGTCTTGCGCACGAGCCCTCCCTAAACCCTAAACCCTAAACCCTAAGGCCCTACGTTGTTTTCCAGATTTGCCAAGGCCGGGCTCCCCCACCACCGCCGCGGGCCGCAGATCAGCCACCTCCTGGGGTACCATGGGGGTACCATGGGGGTACCATGGGGGTACCATGGGGGTACCATGGGGTTACCATGGGGGTACCATGGGAATATTTTACGGAGGGATCAAGGGCAGGAGGTTCAATGGAAGGCACTCCGGGCCTCCGCAGCCTTGGGATGAGCCGGAATGGCCTGATCAGCTGCGATTGGTGCATCTTAGTTAGCAGAACCAATGGTACCACCAGCCACCCCATAAGAGGACTACTCCTATGGTTCCCCTGCATTTCACCCCACTATCACCATCAACTTTGCTAGGATAGGAATATCCAGCTGCCTCATTCATAATCCCAAAGGTACTCTTATCATCCCGACACGGGCAGAGATCCCCTCATAGATACTATTCGGTTTAGGGTTAAAGGTTGTGCACGCACAGTATTCGAAAGCGAGGCTTTTGAAAACTTATGGTTAGACGTCTCACTGTGGCTGCACTTTGGACCAATTGGGCGAATTAGCTCGCACTTAGCTGCCATTCATGGTTGAACATGGGAGTGTCCGGAAGCACAGAAGACGCGAACGATGCCTGCGTCAAAGTAAACATCCACGCAAGCTGATGGAAGCCATCGCTCGATCTCCAAGAGCATGACGTCCACATTCATCGATCCAAGTGGTGCGGTTTCCTGTAAGGATGCCAGCTTAACGGGTAAGCATCAGCGGACGTGTGGGCATCAGTTCTGTCGTTGTGTGTTCAAACAAGAAAGAGCGATTCTGTTGAAGTTTCACGGGCCTTTTGTACTCCTATGTGGGCGACAGGGCGGCAGGAGAGAGCCAGACACGCCCACCCCAACTGCTCACATCGAAACACCAAGCCATCATCGAAATCTCCTCCTTACTGTTAACCCTCTTTCATGTTGGCGTTCAGTGCCGTTTTGAGCACACCTACCACCGGATCCCATATCTGCCTTTTTACGCAGGATAATGGAATGCTCCGCCCTCCAACAGGCATCACCCCAAATGTAGGCATACCTTGGGAGTTCCTGGAGGTCTGCTAGTCCCGTCATGCTTCGACAACCAATAGAAATCAAGAACACATTCGTGCGACTAGGGTTGAGACGGCGGTGAACTTCTGCGTCCATGCGCCTCATGCATTCAAACAGGCATACTTCAATGCCTTTCAGAGTTTGTATCAGTGTCGCGGAAGTTTGGGCGACACCTGGGCAATCCGCAAGCGGCGCAGCAGTGCGCATGCTCCATTGCAAGACATATGGCGCAGCTTGACTGCATGTTGGACAAGACAGTGGTAGCATGCTCTCAGACGTGCAACATGCACAAGCTGGGCCAGCGTAAGAGGAGCAAGTGAGCGGTCTCGTGGCGGTCCGAATACCAACGCAAAAGTCGTGAACAGCCAGCGAATAATCGTTCGAACATGCCGACATCAACGTTCCGGCACTGATCCGGCGTTCCCTTCCAGGGTTCCGTTCCCGCGTTCCGCTCGCTTCCGCGTTCCGCTCCGTTGCTCCGTTCCATTCCGTTCCGGCATTCCGGCTTGGGCTCCGGAATTTGCCCCCCCGCCTCTAGAGATAGAAACACAAAGCTAAAGCTGTTGGGAACGAGGTCCGTTTTCATTACCCTCGAACAGGTGCAGCTTCTGAGGCTCTGGCGAGTCGCTGGCTTTCGTAGATTCGCCACAATACTTCCACATAGGCAAAATCGAAATTCGCCTCCTCCAAAATAGGGCTCACTAACATGCAATCACTGGTTCAATAACATTGAATCAGCGCTACCTCTTCGGTCTGGGTGCTCTGATTGGTGCTGCTGCCATGTTGTGTTTTCCCTGCACCCTTGCCACAGGTCTGAGGGTCCATGCTAGAGCTAGAACTAGAGCTAGCTCCACCAAACTGTGTGGTGCCAAGCGGTGTTTTGCCTTTGCCGTTTCCCTTCCCATGCTCTGTTCCACCTTTGCCCTTGCCGCCACCATGCCCCGTGCCTTTGCCCTCCCCTCCCGTCCCAGCGCGGCTCAACAGCAGAAAGGCAAACCACATCAAGATCAACAAGTGGCGTGACATGACTGCGCCGCAAGAAACGAGGGACTGTGACACCGATCGCAAACAGCTTGAACTCAGAGACTCACACTCTTGACGCTCACACTCGCCTCACACTTTAGCTGCAGGAGCACAGTTCGACCGCATGGTAAATGTGTATTGCGCGCGTGTGAGGGAGAGGGAGACAGCGAGAGAGAGGCTGCAGAAGGGATCAGCCACTTGAGGCCCAAGTCCTGTCCTTGCCTTTTCAGGGCCTTTTCCAGGCACCTCATTGCTTTTTGCTTCTATCCTGTCCAGTGCTTCAACCTTCAAAACGCCAACATGAAAGAGGTTAACAGTAAGGAGGAGATTTCGATGATGGCTTGGTGTTTCGATGTGAGCAGTTGGGGTGGGCGTGTCTGGCTCTCTCCTGCCGCCCTGTCGCCCACATAGGAGTACAAAAGGCCCGTGAAACTTCAACAGAATCGCTCTTTCTTGTTTGAACACACAACGACAGAACTGATGCCCACACGTCCGCTGATGCTTACCCGTTAAGTTGGCATCCTTACAGGAAACCGCACCACTTGGATCGATGAATGTGGACGTCATGCTCTTGGAGATCGAGCGATGGCTTCCATCAGCTTGCGTGGATGTTTACTTTGACGCAGGCATCGTTCGCGTCTTCTGTGCTTCCGGACACTCCCATGTTCAACCATGAATGGCAGCTAAGTGCGAGCTAATTCGCCCAATTGGTCCAAAGTGCAGCCACAGTGAGACGTCTAACCATAAGTTTTCAAAAGCCTCGCTTTCGAATACTGTGCGTGCACAACCTTTAACCCTAAACCGAATAGTATCTATGAGGGGATCTCTGCCCGTGTCGGGATGATAAGAGTACCTGTGGGATTATGAATGAGGCAGCTGGATATTCCTATCCCAGCAGAGTTGATGGTGATAGTGGGGTGAAATGCAGGGGAACCATAGGAGTAGTCCTCTTATGGGGTGGCTGGTGGTACCATTGCCCAAAACGGGCAAGGGTTCTGCTAACTATCTTCGGGTCCCCAAACACACAAAACTCTAAGACCCAGATATCAGCCACAAACATCCCCAAGCCCTGAACCAAACCGAGCGGCGAAAATCCCCAGAAAACTCAGCCCCCCAAAGCCATTTAGGGTTTCCACGCTTTGACAGAACATCTCTTAGACTCTAGACCCCAGAAGCCCCCCCGCATGTTCAAGAGGAGGCCCTGGCCAGACTACGCGAACACCTCGACGAGGACCTGGACCTCCGATTGTTTTATGAGCTCTGGGCTTGGAAGTCTCTCTGCGTTTTAGGCTTGCCGGCGTTGTGGGGATGCAGGGCTGATGTCTGCTTGTGGGGTTTTTCAATGCTACTGGGATCATACAGGATTGTAGACCTTGAGACTTCAGGTTTTGAGACGGTAGCGGGGGCTCAGATAAACGGTTTGGGGCCACTTAAATTGCTAGCCAAGGAACAGGAAGCAGCCAAGGTCCGGGGGTGCCACGGTGGCCATGCCAAGGAGCCCCCTGAACTCTCTAAAACCCCTGAAGATTCAAATGATCCGGTCTGCCACAGCCTCTAAGCCTCTGAGTTGGGAGTGGCAGTCCTTGTCCTGTTCTGCCACTCGTACATGTGCCACTCGTACATGTGACGCAGCTGTTGACTTTAAGACAAAACAACCCTTCACAAAGTGTGTGTTGCCGCTTTGCATGGATGCTGAAGTGACTGAGCAATAATGTGCCACGGGCCATCAAACACAATTGATCGATTCTTTCAGGTCTGTGTCACCCTAAAACCATAATTGCCAACCATGGCAAGCCGGAGTGCTGGGTTTCGCCCTGTTTGTACGGTCCACGGGTTTTCTGATGCACTTCGGGGAAAAGATAAGTTTTACAGGGACAGCGGCACTGCCGGCAATTGATTTGAAAGGAGTGCCGCACGGACATGTCTTACGACACCCGGACGATTTGGCTTAATAGAGGATCCCACCGCGCACCCCTTGCTCAGCTGGTTAGAAATTGCTTGGTCGTCGCATAACACTTACGCTGTCTTGGCTGAGGGAAGATGCAGTCCAGGAGGCTGGGAGGAGGGCTTCGGGCAAGGTATCCCCTGGTATTCGTGCAAGGAGGTGTGCGCGGTTGTGCTTGAGCGGTGGGAGTTGTTGTCATCCAAGACGCGGTGGCGAACATATCAACCGCAATGAACCGGTGAAGGCAGTAGTTCGGGCAAGAAAAATGTGGGGGGCCCAACCAAAAGACGCAACATTGAAAGGGTCTTTCACCTCAATCTCCATATTCCACCTTCATCGGGCCCCACGTGGTCTTGTGACTCCGCTCTTAGCCTTCCGACTTCCCGATCTTGCTGCCAAGTTCTTGCGGGGGCGGTGAACCTCGAAAACTCCAGAATTCCCCCTGGGCCTGAGCTTCTGACGTCGATACCGAGCAGCCCGAGATGGGCAGTTTTGGGCATGTCAACGTTGTTTTCAGGGCTGCGGGCTTGATCTCCAAGCTTCCCATCCCTACGACAGCTGTACACGACACGGCAAGGTATCTTTTTCCAGCCTCAATCTAGCGCGAGCCTCGCAGCTTGTCAGCGTCTCGCTCAGCTGGCACCAGGCCTCCTTATGGGCAGCGAAAACGACGTTCGAAGCAGCTGCTGCTCCTTGATTGAACCTTGAGCTCTGAACCCTGCCTCTTTGGGCCACTCCACGACGAATCGCAGGCCTGATCACAGGTGCCGGTCGGATTTAGGGGGATTGTCTTTCAGGGTTTTGGGATTACGGCAGGACTGGAATCAGGGTTTCACAGGGATTCAAGGGTGCGCCCCCGCCTCTTTCTGCCTTGCCCAAACCGGCGAAGGCCCTGCAAAGAAGAAACAATCGTCGGTCGAGCCTCAGGCTGTTTCAACTATCCCGGGGCTTTGTTGGAAACCGCGGGTTGCTTAGAAGTGCCAGGGCCGCTATGGGTTGACATTTACACAGGCCGGCTAAATCACCTTGTTGTGGGGACCCGAAGCATCGACGAAGACGCTTTGAGCACACCCCAAAACCCTCTTTTTTTGGTTAAGTCTCCAAACTGTCCAAACCGAAACGCAAACCCAAAGGGGCCCCGAGAGGGGGGGAGGGAACATGACATGCACAAGTGCATCAACTTCCTTTTTTGCTGCGCGATCAAGATCAGCCGTCAGCTTTCGCTGTGTCGTCCTGCGTAGGCACAGCATCAAGACGCGAGTCGAAAGCTCTGACCCAGAGCGCATCTGAATGAGGGGGGTTAGAGGGAATCGCCTCTTATTGAGGGGTCGATCTTGAAATGGGCACCCAAACCGAAGAAAGGCCCAGCATTCAGATCGAAACAAGGTCCTGGAACTAAGGAGGATTAACCAAATTTGTCATATTACTACTTAAACACTTAAACCCTAAATGACTGAATGAATTAGTTTAATTTATTATGTGTCACTCCCAACAAAAGCCAAGGCAAAACAAAAACGCCCACTCCTGCTACTGAGGACAGACAAGCGCGGAGCAATCGCCTTTTGGGGCATTTCGGGTGGTTTGAAGGGTGACCCAGACAGAAAGCCCCGTGAGTCCTGCTGCGCACTCGCCGGAGGCTCTGCCGGAGGCTGTGCCGGAGGCTCTGCCGGAGGGCCTCGCAGGGCGTTCAAATCGCTCTCCTACTAACTCGAAACTTCAGCAACGGCCTCGAATCTTCTTGCCATATTATGCTGGAGATGTTTGGTGTTGGGGGGGACAATATTCGAGGGAGCTTCTTGGGGGCTCAGATGCGCATGTGGACGAAAAAGAAGAAGGGCCTGCTCCTTCGCTGGAGGCGGAGGCAAGCGATGCCCTCCTGGCAATGATGCCCTGGTTGTTCGCCAGGAGCTGCCCCAGCCTCGCGCCCAGAAACCGAAAAACATCTCTTATAATATAAGACTTATATACCCCTTATATACCCTAAACAACCCAAGGGCCCCATACTTCAGGGGGGGACCAGATTATGCGCCCATGAAACCACTCGGGTGCAGGCAAGCGGCTGGGAGCGGCGGAGGCCCCCTTGCCCGCCCTGTCCGCCCTGACCATTCGGTGCAGAAGCCATGAGCTGAGCCACCTGCTCATCGGTGATCTCGCAACCCAGGGTGGCGAGGCCCTCCTTGAGCTCCTGGGAAGTAACGAGCCCGTCACGGTTCTTGTCCAAGGCCTCGAAGACGTGGTCCACCTCCCAAGAAGCCGGGGACTCCGAGACGAGGCCCTTTTGCCTCAAGAAGGCCACGGTGCTCTGCGCCGGTTGCTGCACCGACGACTGAACAGATCGGCCACTGACCTTTGCTTTTATCAGGGTGAAGACAAAGGGGGCGTGCAGGAGGCAGGTTACCTGCCCAATCCTGCAGGCGTCCTCGATGCTACCTCGGCTGTTGCAAAAAAGGAACGCGGGCTTAGCACGGGCGTGCTGAAAGCATCTGATGTAATCAGCCTTCCTTCCGTCAGACCATGATGAGACGACAGCCAAGCTGCATGGGGTGAAGACCACATCCCAGCCGAAGCCTGTGAGGGTGCCATACTGGTTCACGCAGTTGAAGACGATGAGCATCCAGTCCAGCAGAAACCAAAAGCCGAAGCCACCGACGGTCAGCAGCTTCAACGTCCCTAAGATGAAATTGCCCACAAGGCAGTGGTCCACGCCACAAAAACCGAGACCCAGGAAGACCACAAAGATGAGCATGACCTTACTCTGACCTCAGCCACGCTCGCGGCCGAATGCTTCAACGCATCTCATGCTTCCCCCCGCCCCCCGCCCCGGATAGCTCCGACGAAGATCGCGCATGCTGCCGGATCCAAAACACGACAGACTTGCAATTTCTCTCTGAGGTGACGGAAACAGGCGGAAACCAGTCAGAGTCCACACGCTATGCCTTCAAGCGTGCTACAACCTAGTTGAAGACGCTCGTTGGCGTGTGGCTCGGGGTTTGTTTCGGTTTTGTCGGCTGTTGTCGGCTTGCACGCAAGGCCCTCCGCTATTAGCACAATCCCACTGCCTTGACAAGCCCCCCTCCCTGGCACTAAATCAGTGCCATCCAGTGCCATGACACCGCGCTATCTCAGCGCATGGCTATATCTGCCGGCGGCCTTTGGACACAATCACTACTTTAAGGCTACTTTGCAGAGGTGGCTATCTCAGGGCTTGGCCGTCAATCCTCACAGCTGAGCCACATCTCATGTCATTTGGGATTGGCGGCTTTGGAGGGAGGTGGACAAGTTTTTGTGGAAGAAAGCTGCTGACGCAGCGACGCCTGCTTGCTTCAGGCCATCCGTGCTGTTGACCTACTTGTAGAATGAACTTAGAAAGGCTTACAGGCGGTAGAAGCTTTCCCAGGACAAGCCGCCCTGGCGCTCGGTGAGCTCGTATTCACGATATTCGCCATGATATCTTCCGGCGGTCAGGGCCTCCTGGGCCAGCGAGGCAGGTGCAGCGTGAGAGGTCGCATTGCTCCGGCGGCCCCGGTGGCCCCCATGGCTCCGGTTGCTCCGCGTGGCATTCGCGGCCGCTCCGGGGGCAGCTCTGTGCAGGGCGGCGGAGCGGGTCTCTGCCAACCCGGCCTTGACATCCCTGACGTCGAGCGACTCGAGGGAGCTTATGCTTGACAGGTCTTCCAGCGGCCGGGTTGCCACGGACAGCTGGAGCACAGGCAGCAGAAGTAGCACGGACAGCAAGGACAGGGTCGCCATGGTTCTACAGCAGACCCCTATGAAATTGATTGTGGGATTATGCCATGCTACTGTATGCCATGCTGTATCATGCTATGCTCACTGCAAGGTAGCGAGGCGGGAAAGTCGAACCATGACAGACCCCAAGCCCAAGCCCTTCGGAGGGCGCAACTCACGTGCCTTAGACCTGACCTCCGGAAGACTCTAAACTTATGGAGACTCGCAAGGAAGCGAAAAACACCTTGAGCCCTGAGCCCTGGCAGCGGCCGGTGGGGGCACACAAAGAAGTGAGTACTCCGGAAGAGAGGAAACGAAAGGAGGAGAGGAAGGCAGGGCGGCATAGATCTCCCTTATGAGCTGTGTTTGCACTGTCTCTAGATTATGGTTTGGCTTGAAATGGTTGAACCTTCCGCGACCGAAGCCTTGGGCTCATGGCGTGCAGTGACATTGGCAGGAGGTTCTTTGACAGCCGATATACACTCAAGTAAGTAAACACACGTGTATGTATAAATACATATACTTATTTTCATCTACATACATATACATACAATTACATACATTTTCATACACATACATACATACATATACATAAATATACATGCATATACATACATATACATACATATACATACATATACATACATACACAGACATATACATATACATACATACATATACATACATATACATACATATACATACATATGCATACATACACATACGTATACATGCATATACATACATATGCATACACACCGGTTCCTGGAATCCAGGAACCCGCTCCCGCTGACTGCTCGGCCTTGGAAACCTCGTGCAGGTCGAGAACGCGGTTCTCCTTTACAACCTGCGCATGTTCGCAGTAGCAGGCTGTTCGCGTTCGCTACACGTTGTACTATTCGTGCGTTGCTGGACGCTCCGGGAGCTGCAAGCCACGCAGCGGAAGTAGATGTTCTCACTCTTTGCTTGTGGAGGGATCTCCCCGAACCTTTGATAGCCTTTGCCGCCCGAAGAGGGCCCTAATGCCCTATAGGCCCCAAAACCAAACCCCTTTTTGCCTGCGGCTCAAGCTCCTCCGGCGTGCGCTCGCGGCGGACCTGCAGCGAAGCAAGGGGCGAAAAGACTCCTCTGAAGCTGAAGCTGGGTGCGTGGGAGGTGGGTACCAACAGAAGTATAGAAGTGTCGCGATGTTTGCGGGTGAGTTTCCTCCGCGTTTGCAGCTGCAACACCTCAATGCCTGTGAGCCTGCGTGCGCTTCCCCACTTCCGGGCAGGACCTCCGATGGTGCTCTTGGAATGCCGTGCTGCAAGCAGCCGATCTCAGTCAGGCGAGGAGAGAAGGATAATTGAACTTTTGCATCAGTGCTCGCAAACCATGCCTGACTGACTTCCCGCTTACGTCTTGAATCAATGAACTCACGTGTCTTTGGTGCCCTTCGTTCGGTGAAAGCCCTCGGTCGCACACGCCGAATCCCAGCGTCAGTGTCAGGAACGCGCCGCACGCTGCGGTGGAACTGCCACTCCTTACACAGGGCGGCAACACGGATGGCCAGCGCAACTGCAGGGGCGACTGCGCTGTGCTACTGCGTTGTCAGGCGCTGTCTCGTGCCAGACACACATACACACGTCCAACTCCAAACGGAAGCAGGGAGGGTCACGTAAAGAACATAGGGTCACGCTGGGCAAGGCCTTCAGAATCCTTCAGATGCCTCTTCCGATTTTTCAGGGGGTTTTGATCTCTCGGGGCCCGTCAAGAAGTAGTCGCGCACATAGAGCTCACACCTGAGCACCGTGAGCGTGCCACACAGAATCGGCAAGAGTGCTGGCGGAGTATTTTGTTGGGGGGAGGGGTACTCTCATCTACATTCCGCTCAACTTCGCGTGCCGACGTGCCGAAGGCCGGGGGGCGCACCCTTTGCGCTTCAAGCTCCGCGACAAGGTCTGGGATGCCATGTTGTCAAAGGAGCAGCCTGGGAAACTCTGAAACTCTGGGAGTAAACCCTGAACCACCTAAACCTTAAACCCATCTTGTACCACTTCTGCACCGGGGCGGTCGGAAAGTTGGGGGCTGTCTAAGAGTTGAGGGATGTCGAAGCTTACGGACTTCGCGCCCATCTAGCGGGGGCATAGGGAAAAAGACGCTGTTGAGGGACTTTGGAGGGTCTCAAGAAGCCCAGAGAGCCCCCACGATGCCTCAAGCGCCTTCAGATGTCCTGTATGGCGCTTCAGGGCCACTTGAAGGTTCAATGGGGCCCTCACTCGGCATGCCCATCCCAAGCGGGATCGAAAGAGCGCACAGCCTCCAAGCGGCCACAGATTTTTCTCTTGAGATCAAGAGAGAGGCACGACGTGGCACAGCAAAGTATGAGCAAGGCCCCGGGCAATGCGAAGAGCTCCGCCGCCTTTGCAAGAGGGATCCCGGCCCCCACGCACTCTACACGTCTCTACACATTCCCCCCCTCACATGTGTGAGGGCCTCCAGCTTCACACCCAAGGCCACCTGAGCAGGCTGGGAAAGCCCGGCTCTCCCCCGGTATATCGGAGCAGTAAGGCGGCCACCAGCAAAGGCAGCGCAATGACTCCGGCAAGCTGATGGCCACAGAAGGTACCTCTTTCCACATCTCTCCGCTTTCCGACGTTTTCCCGCCGCAAACACCTCGGAGGGGTCACCGAAGATGATGAGCGTTGAGATCACCAGCACCGTGAAGGGCCAGAACCTCGGAGACAGAACGCAAAATCTCTCGGCATGCCCTGAGCATGCCCTGAGTAGTAGTAGTAGTATGCCCTGAGTATAACTCTGAGATATTTGAAGTCCGATGGAGTTCAGTGAGGAGGGCTTCGCGTCTTGGGTCTTCGGGCCTCGAGTTCTGGGCGCCAGGCGACATGCCACCAATGAGGCCGGACTCAGCAGAAAGCCGGAAAAAACAAGATAAAATGATGGCATCTCAGCTCTTGGGAGTCACCTCAACGCTCTCCTATACCGTCTGGATTTGAACAAAACCCTGCAACCCCCCCCCCCCCTCCCAAAAAAAAAGAAAAGCGACGAGAAAACCCTGAAAATGTCCCGGCATTCCCCCGCCTGCGTCATGATGGCAGAGCCTTTGGCCGCCAGCGCCGTCTCTCGCACCATCAGCGCCATGACGTTCGTGCCTGGCTTCAACATTGGGAAGAAATTTGGGGGGGGGGGGGGGGGGGGGGGCGGTTCAAAGGGTTTTCGGGCAGCTTTTAGGATGATGACGGGGTTCTCGAAAGAGTTTGCAGTTCCGGTCAAGGAGATTGGAAGTCGCGTGTCTGCCTCCGACGATGGCCAGCAAGTCCCACTCCAGGGAGAGGAACTCGTCCCCTTGCCCAAGGGCTTCCAGGGCGAAGGGAAGACCCAAACTCCCGGCGGCCTTCTAGTTACCATTACTTAGAGAGAATCGATTTTGGTATCGTAAGCGACGCAACCACCCCGTCGGAGGGAGGGCGCCCCGGGCACCCGGCGTGAGAGGAACCCACTTCCGAAGGCCAAGACCTCGGAGCAAAATGGAGCTCAAGGGAGGATGGATTTGCGAAGCAAGGCCCTTACCTACACCTTTTTCAGGGTGCGGAAAGAGCCTAAGGGCGGATTGACCGAGCCAAGCACCACCAAGGCCAGCGCGAGGATGGCTGGATGGCCTTCGAAGAGAACAGAAAACGACTTCCAGGAACAATCCACGAAGCCATCCTCTGACAGGCTCCCGGGTTTAGGGCTTAGGGTTTCGGGTTTAGGGAGCCAACCTCGGGCCCATCCCGAATTATTCGAGGGGAAGTCGCGCCCGTCTTTGCAGGCAAGGTGCCGAGGGTGGGCTCCAGGGCCTGCGTGGCGAAACATGGTGCAGGGGAGTGGAACCTCTGGAAACTCATATAACCACGCAACCATACCATACCATACCCACATGAGAACCATACGACAACCATATGATAACCCATACACGACTCGAGCACTTCATGAGAGCTCCTCGGCGAAGATCGTCATCCCCAGAACCGCCAGGCAGGATGAAACGAGCATGAACCTCCCAGGTGGCGCGTCCGGCTCCGAAAGGGGCAAAAAGCAAAGACGCCCCTGACCTAGAGCGGAGACTTTGCTCGGAGACACTTAGAGTTAGAGACTAAGCTGGCCACCAATGGCCCTGTGTCATCTGCACCTGCTGCGAGGCGCGAGACTCAGAGCGGAGGAAAGGTGAGGAAAGCTGGGCCTCTGAGGCGTGGCTTAGGCTGACTTGTCGAGTGAGGCCCGGTCCGGGACTTTCCTGCGAAGATCTGCGTAGCGAAACCACAGCCAGCTGGGGCTGTTTCCCTTGCGCTTCCCTCGCTTTCCTGCTTCCTTTGCTACCGCACGTCCTCCAATCCCTCCTCCACCGTCTTGATGACAGCTTCTTCTGCATCGTGCTCCGCGGGGTAAAAGCAACAAAGGACCCACCAGGACCTCGGGCGTGGGAACCAGCACGGTGCTTGACTGTCGGGAAAAGCGGGGCCCATGTTGCTTTCCATTTCCATGGCTGCCATGCCCAGGAGCTTGACTTTGCCAGTTGCTGTGCAGCTGTCTGCAAAACGGCTGTTGCCCCAAGAATGGTTGACAATGAGTCGGATTTCTCAACACCCAACTTGCACCAAACTCTGTTCTCCAGTGCAAAATGCATGCTCAGTTGAAAGCTACACTGGGTCGGCGCGAAGGTCACTGTCTTTCTCTCTCACACTAGATACACCAGCATCTGTAGAGCCGGGGCCCCTGGCAAGACAGTTGTCGGCACAGCCTGCCAAAAGTTCCATGGCAAAGCTCAGGTCTGCCAGGTCTGCCAAGTTTGCCAATCCCGGCCGAGGCACAACGGGAGCTGAGATGAAGAACCAGCTCCTGACGTCAAGCGCCACAAGAGATGCCACCAGCGCATCGGAAGCATTCGAGGGGCGTTTGCTTCGGTTGCTGAGCTGCCGACCACAACGACAGCTTGTGGTCCTCAGAAGGTCTTCCAAGCAGAGTCCAGTGTAGGCATTGAAAAATCATCGCCCTCCTTCAAACACCCCTTCGGTGCTGCAGCCCTCTGAAACTTGGGGGCGCGCAAAGTCGCGCAGGAGACTCACCTGCTGCACAGCACAGAGCGCTGGAGTAGGCTACCGCACGTCGATGGACGCCGTGTGGTGTGCAGCTGAGCAAGCTGCAGTGATGAGCGTCACTGGACTTGAGATGGGCAGAAGAATGGAGCCTCTGCAAACTCAGAGCCCTGGACACCCACAATTGCACATCGTCATACATCGCCTGCATTGGCGGCAAAGGCGACTCCCAGCAACAGGCGCTTGATCACCGGCACCTCCCTTGGCTGAAAGCGCGGACTCAGAGCATTTGGGAAGGGGGAGAGGGGGGGGCTACAAAGACGATGCTCCCTTCCGTGCTCTAGCTTCACAAATACCTGAATACTGAACACCTAAAGGACTCGTAAACTACAGGGAACCCATGAAACCCATAAGCACATGCATGCAGACATATCAGTATATATATATATATATATACAAATACAAGTACACATATCACACATTGTCTGCCGCTGTCCCTGTCCTCAGTCAAACCGAGCAGCAGCTGCCCGAAACCTCTCTTCATCAACAGCGGCTTCAGCGCTGCCAAGACCACCTCAGATCACGGGGAAGCGAAGGACCCCCAAAACCGAAAAAAAAACCTGGGACCAAAAGGAGAAAACACTGAGAGAAAGACAGACAGGGCGAGAGAGAGAGCATGTTTCTGACAGCTCTCTTATGCTCTAGGTCCCGGGCAATGGAGCCAGAGACCAGCACGGAGCAGGCGGCCATGGTCAAGACCATGATGACCTCCCAAAACAAAAGGGCGGCTAAGCCATGCCAAGCCATGCTAAGCCCTCTCAAGTTCAACTCACTCAAGGGCGCCGAGCCAGGAGGAAGCTCTTGCTCTCTAAGCGCCAGCGCCTCAAACGGCGTTGCGTCGCTACTCCTCGAATCCCCGGATCCTCTCGCAGAACTTCTCTCGGCCCCCTTCCGGAGCAGCGAGGAGGTCAGCAAATCCAGGACGCCACACTTCTCGAACCTCTCATGTGTGGAGGAGCGCATGTCCTGGCCCCTTTGAGAAAAGGTGTCTGGGGACCACGGCACAGCGTTGATGACCAGGCTCCCCAGGACTAAGAAGGAAGTCTGGTTGAAGAAGCTGCCAAGCCTCGGCCGGGGCATTGCCTTGCATCTCCAGCTTCGGGCGCCAGGGGGTAATTCAGGTGTGAGAGGAGTGTGAGGAGCCTTGCATTGGTATGCTGGTGCTTGGATTTCAACACTTCAGGGGCTCTAGGACCTTTGGACCCCTTAGAAAAAAGTGCTGTCGGGCAGCAGCAGTCTCGACGTCGTGAGCATTGTCCGCTCCTGGCACAGCATCCCAATCGCCCTCGCCACTTCCCTCCCCATGAAGAAGCCTCGCCAAAGACAGCGCAAATGCTGCCTGACAGCGCTGGGCAGAAGCGTCCATCCCCCACAAAGCAGTGCCCCCCCCCCCCCCCCCCCCCAACCCACCCTGAGGCGCACACCCAGAACCGGGATGAAGAGGGCCACACAGAAGAGGGGCAGAAGCTCGAAGAGGCTGAGTGTCAAGACCTCGTGCAATCCACTGACTCTTTCCGGGTTTGGATCTTATTGCAGCTCTTTCCAGAGGTGGGGTTCTTTTGAACGTTTCTTGGAATCCTCTTCTGCCTCCGCATAGGTCGCACCCTTTCGTAACATAACACTGCTCCCTTCTCTAGTGCATGTCTCATGGTCCCGCCGATGAAGCTCTCAGCTCCAGACCCTGAAGGGAAACCTCCTTGAACCCTTGACCCTACAGGTTGAACAACCCTGAAACCCTGATGAAGACCCTTAAAAACCCTGAAGACCCTCAACCTCCATTTAAACCCTTTAAGCCGGGTCCCCCGACTCCCAGCATGATGAGGGCACAGCGAGCCTGGGGCTCCAGGTCAAATGTCCTGGAAGCTGAGGGCTCGGGATAACGTAGTGGCAGAGCACTGTTCGGAGCCGAAGTGTGTTGCAGTATGTGGTGGCCCGTGCTGCAATGGGCCTGCCTCATGAAGACCGGCAGCATCACGGCCCTGCCCAAGCACCAAGAAAGTGCGGAAGACAACTGCTTCGAGCTCGCGGGGTAAGCTGCCGGCACGATGAAGATGGGAGGTCCTCTGGACAATCTCAACTTGGACTCCAATCTGAACAGGAGTTCTGGCGGATGATCTTCCTTTCACCGTCAAGAAGTGACGGAAGCGGAGGCCATCGTCCTCCTCCGCGATCGCCTCCCACAACCCGGACATGCCGCTCAACATCTCCCAAAAACATCGCGGAAGGGGGGGGGGGGGGGGTCACAATCTTGCGGGCCTCGGAGTGCTCCGTAAGCCTGGAAAAGGCAGGAAGGGCGGCCCTCAAAAGAAGCGCCCAAGGAGAGGGGCCCTCGGGAGCGGAGACTTCCAGAAACAAGCCTCCGGATGTCGAAGCGCGTCGCTGGGGTGCCTGAGCCATCGCCCCTGAATGTGAGATAGCCATAGACAACCATCACAATAAGCATAAGAAGTTGGAATATTAAGTATTCGTAATCAGAACCTTCGTGATCATGAGAACATATCATCTTGCTGATTGTCATGAAATGTCGGCCTTGAGTTCATGCGACTCAGAACGAGCTCCGTGCCAGAGCGAGGCGAGAAAACGCGGGCTCCAAGCGGCCCTGGTGAACCACCCGACTCGTCGTCTTCTTCCTCACTGCCTGCGAGTCCCACTTCGAACCGCCACACCCCGACCCAGCTTTAAGCTTGCCACTCAGAATGAAAGTGGATTTTATGCTCTCAGCACGCAAACTGACTCAAACTAATCGAACTCAACGAGCCAAAGCGCGATTGCGCCTGAATGATTGGTGGACAGTGTCGGGAAGAGATACAACAAGAAGCTTGTCAAGAATGTAAGGAGCACAAGACGCGTCCGAAGGTTACCCAGCCCTTTAACATGCTCTCCAACTAGAAGGCGGGCCTTATTCATACAGTGTAGCCCCGCACCTGCTTTCTCTGGCACGTCATCAGGATCCACGAAGGCGGGCCTGGAAATCACTTACTCCGTTACCGGTACCAGCTTGCGTGCACAAGACATCTTAACACTCATGTGAATAGATGACGGGCTAACCGCGGCGGCGAAACATGCATGTCCCAGCTGGTGCCTATATGCGTCCCCCACCATGCTCAGTCTACTAGAAGCCATGGTGTTGAGGGTCCGGGGCCCTTCAGCTGCGCCTCTTCTTCTGATCCGAAGCTTCGTTTTGAGCCATTTGGCCCGCCCGGCACGGGGGCTAGTCGGCGCCTCGAAAGGCAAAGGGCGCAGGCGCAAAATCAAGCCCGTGCACGGAATGTGTGAGTTGGGGCCCCAGCCCCGGCCGAGCAAAGAAACTACATTCATGAGCTGCAAGCGCTCTCTCTATCTGTCTCGGGAGCCCAAGTTGAATCACGTTAACTTGCTGTCGCTACAAGATGCACCCAATTAGAATGTCGGCATGCTCTACCTGGCACTCTAACTGCGCTGCTTGCGCACGCCCGCAGCTTATCATGTGGGGAAGGTCTGCGAGCCAAAAACCCAAGGCGTGGAAGCGGTGTATAATGGGCGGTGCTTGGGTGTTTTGCCTTACCCAGCGCGGGCACGAAAGAGGGAATTTCTACGGTCTCCTAGGGGTCCCGGACCTTCTCCCCAGAGATAAGAGAGAGAGAGTGAGAGTGAGTGAGAGTGAGTGAGTGAGTGAGAGAGTGAGAGAGTGAGAGAGTGAGTGAGAGAGTAGAGAGTGAGAGTTTGAGAGAGAAAGAGAGAGAGAGTGTGAGAGGAGTGGGAGTGAGAGTGAGAGTAAGAGTGAGAGTGAGAGTGAGAGTCAGAGTGAGAGAGAAGGCGAGAGGGAGAGAGGGAGACAGGCAGACAGGTGGTCATTCTTGTGTCATTGCTATGTCTCCCTTTCATGGTTCCAGGGCCAATCCAGAGTCCCAGCGCGCTTTGGGGCTTTGGGTTTGCCCTTCAATCCTTTGTCTCACTTTCGGGTCTCGGCCTGGCTCGAGTAGACACTGCCTCTTGGGTTTCTAAACACCTCTCAGGAGCATGGGCCCTCCTCAATCGCATGAAAACGGCCATCCTGGAAAGGTCTTCTCAAGCTCCCACCACCCCTGCCCAACTTGAAACGCCGCACTCCGCGGCCCCGATCTGCGGGGTTCTGGAGAAGAGCTGAGGGCAGGACGTTTCGGTTGGGTTTGAAGCTGAGCCGCAGATACTCGGGCTATACTACTGCATGGATTGTACCGATGTATGCAACATTCTTGGCCAAGCATACAAACATGAAACAGGAAGTGATTGAAATACTGCACGATACTGCATGGTTCCCAAATGTACGATTTAAGCAGAGTTGTGATCGGCCTGCGAACTGCTCGTTTTGGTCTCACTCACGTCGAGTCAAGAACTTGGCCGCCTTGGCCACGGCCATGACGGCAGCACCTGGAAGCGCAGAGCTGGAAGGAGAGGTGGGTCGGCTCAGGTTCCTGATAACCATGATCGAGTAGCTCGCTAAATGGGGGTAGAGATTTGCACTCATAAATATGCCGACGCCCTGCCCTAGCTGGGTCGGCGTTAGCGAAGACCCATTCCATTGTCCTTTCCCGTCCAACTGTTTTGGATCAGCACACCGTATCACAGAAACGAGGCTGGCGAGCCCGGCCGATGGCAGCCAAGAGGATTTGGGTGGGTGGGGCTTCGGGGTTCCGGGTGCTTCTCGCCTCCAGGGTGCAGATCTTAGGGGCTTGAAAGCAAGTACAATCTTGAGCTTGGCAAAGCCTGGCGATACGTTTTTACCGAAGGCGGCGAGCTTTAATCAGACAGCCGCTTGAAAAAACAGAGAGCGGGGGGGGCGCCCATGCACAACATGCAGAGGGGCACCCGAAAATCTGGCGCAGCAACCTCTACGAGGAAGGCACTTTTTGGCCCGTCTTTGACGGGGCAAGGCAGCGCGTGGAACTTTGCCTTGCGCTGAACGCGGCCATCCAACACCTTGCAGCAAGGTTGCCCAAGCCAGTGTTCATCGAACCGGGAAAGGCGAACACTCATCGCCTGTTGGCACCAGCTAATTTGAACATCTCGTGATCATAGCAGCCTTCTTCTGCTCAGCGGGCCTGCGCTCATTTGAAATTGTCCATACTATTTAGCTTAGTCTGGGTAGGCTCCGATACAGGTGTTGGAGATTGGAGATGAATTGCCCTGTCTGTAGGGTTTAGAAGGTATATCAGGTTTGAACTTGTAGTTGTTTGTAGTGTTTATGGGCTTTTAGGGTTTAACGGGTTTGCAGTGTTTTTAGGGTGTATAGGGTTTTGTAGGCGCTGCGTAATGAGCCCTAGAGCACCCTCCACAGCCCACGTCCCTCACTGCACCCATGCCATAAGTCGCCAAGTTGCAATGTAAGGGCATGGCCATGGGAATACTACCTTGGTACATGCGACCGTGGGCGGACATGGTGCTCGGGCAACATGGACGTTCTAACTGCTCTGGAGTGCGCCTTCGGCCAGCTGTGTGTCAAAACTTCCGGGAGCTGCCTACCTTTTGCCTCATTGAACGGCTAAGCTCTGAAACGACACTCTGGCTCCTCAGGCGGTGGGCACCGGGTAGTTACAAACCCTGACGGTCCTAGGCACCCAAAAACCATGAAGAGCATGGTCTTACGGGCCCAAAAGCCCTAAGATTTAGGGCACTTGGTCTTGTGCAGTTTAGGGCTCCAGGGGTAATTGAAGGGTTTGGGTTTATAGAGGGCCCCGGTGCATGGCTTAGGGTGCATTTTGTTGCAACATGTCTTCAGTCCTGAGTCAAGGGGAGAAGCCTCTGAACCGGGGGAGAACTTGTAGTGAGGCCTAGCCCTAAGCTCCCCGAAGCCCTGAGCCGAAAACCATTCCCAGAATTGATAACCAGCAGAACCCGCCCGGCTTGAAGCCATGGAACCGCTGCTTTGCTGTCTGCAGCTGGCGAAGCCTCGTCATGGTTGAAACCATGAGAGAACCCTCGGACTTGTCGCTCTTACTTTGGGTCCCTTTCTGCATTGCACTGCTGTTGTACATCAAACTGCGACGCCTCTTCATTGGCTAGCGCCGGTGGTTCAGCCTGCAAAATGCAGCAGCACGTCTCAGCGACATTGTGCCTGATTATTGTACCGGATTTCGCGAGCTACATGTCCGTCGCCCCTGGCTACATCAGTTTCTGGTTTAGCATTTGCACTGTTCCACTAGCACATGTCGACTCCTCAAGCACCAGGCGACACAAGATTACATTCCCGAACCGATGTCAAAAAAAACACTAAACCCTGAACCCGGAAACTAAGCCCAAACCCTTTTCGGATGTCTGCGGCATCTGGGAAGGGGTAGGGTTGCGCTGGTTGCTTTCTCTGTTTTTGTTGAGGGAATCTGGGAGGAGGCATCTGGAGGAGGGGTATCTGGGAGGTGGGCATGCCTCTGGGAAGGGGGGGCATCTGGCGACTCTTCATGTTGCGGATGGGAGCGGACATGGCGAAGCAAGCCATGCAGTCTGCGCCTCCTTGCCATGGTCAAACTGGTACTCGTCCTGCACCATGACAATCCGTCTGGCGCCAACCTAAACCTGAAACTCCAAAATCCACACCCCCTGGAACCTGGACCTTAAAACCTTCAGGCTTGGTTAGGAAAAGGTTCTCTAGGAGAGGCAGGAACCTAACTTGAAGCTACTACGCTTAGGGCATATTTTGGTGTTACACCCGACACAGGAAAGGACAGCGTGGATGATAGGGTTCCGATCCCGTAGAAAGCGGGATGGGGATGCAACTGGGCAGCCGAGAAACCCCGAACACGACGTTAGGGTTCAGAGTAGGGCTGAGAACCCGAAACTGCCCCAAACCCTAAAACCCTAAGAAAGCCGAAGCCCCAAATCAACAAACGACGGCCATCAAGCACCTGGATCTCAAGCATCTCGAGGAGGTGATCCCAGTCATAGGGGTCGTCCTCCCAAAAAAGAAGAAGGGTTTAAGGGCCCAGGGAGTGGGATGCAAGGGCTTTGGGCTGTGGGAGTATGAGTCATTCTGCATAATCCTGAACCCTCCTAAAACGAACTGCGCCCTAAACCCTAAAACCAGTAAGCCCTGGACAGCCGAAACCCTGAGCTCCGGTGTGGCCTGCTCTGCGTCACAGAGGCTCAGGTCGAAGCATGGACAGTTCGGCCAATGCAAATCTTCCTCAGAAGGGTTTAGGAGTTTAGGGTGTAGGGTTTAGGGTTTAGGGTCCCTGAATCCGAAAACCCCGAAATGGAAGGCGCCTGATCTCTCAAGACTCGCTTCTTCTTTGCAGGGGCGGGGATTGGGGCGCGGTGCGTCGGTGGATTTGGGGTTTAGGGTGCCTGGAGCGAGGGCGCGCGTTGGCGCTCGCATTGCCTGTCAACCCACCCCGGCCACCCACACTGTACAGACTATTTTTGGGATTTGGAGTTTCAGTTGAACCGATGATTGCAGTTCTGCTGTCAAGCCGCATCTTAAGGATTTAGGTCAAGGAAGGTGGCAGCGCCCCTTTTCCGGGCCTTCGGCATGTGAGGCCAAGTGAGTCCCAAATTCAAAACAACATTCGTAACTCATGATGTCCTTGTTGGAGCCCTTCAGAAAGCTTTTGAAAGCCATCGGAGCTCGTTGAAGACTTTTCGGAGCCTTTTGGGAACTTTGGACCTTTTGGGAAGCCCTCGGCACCCACAAACCCGGTACTGGAAAGCTGATTTAAGTTTCTACTGGAATCGGCATTGTTTTGCCAAATCCTTGGCGCGAAAACCTTTGGAAAGGCTCGTTGTGAGTCCCTGTCAGATAACTTTTGAAGCCATTTTGGAATTTCTCGGAGCCTTTCAAAAGGCATATAAAAGGCATTTTGAACTTGTTGAGGGTAAGAGTTGTTCTTCTTTGTTCCGTATGTTTTTTGTTCAGCACGCCTTTCAGAAACTCACGCGGCCGGCCGAGCAAACAAAACCTCGGGCTTACACAAAACGACCACGGACCCAAACTGCCAATCTGGCCAAGCGCGTGACTCTCATACAAACCAAGACTATATTTCCTCCAAATTTCCATAGGAACTCGACTAGTTTGGGAGCCTAGGGCTAAGGGTGTAAGATTTTGGGTTTAGGATTTAAGGTTTGGGTTTAGGGTTTACGGCGGGTTAAAGATGCAGGATTGAAAAGGGTTCCTTGTTTTGACATTGGGTTGTTTGTAAGTAGGAAAGGACCCCAGAATTTGGAAAAAGTGTCCACTAACAGGTTTAGCCAAACTTCCACACTGCGCTCCCAGGACTAAACCTTGCACTCTAAGCACCGCAACTGCAGCAGCGAAGACACTACGTCATGATCCATGCTGCTGGACTGGACCAGGACAGGTTGTTACACCCTATCCTCCCTCAAAAAGACCCTTTAGAGGAGTGATTACGGGATTACATGGCCCTAAACCACCCGTAAACCACGAAACCCTTAAACCACTTAACCACTTTCCCGACTATACCCCTAAACCCTAGGCCCGACGACCCCACCACCTGCAGCAGGTGCGGCCAAAGGATCGTAAAAAAGCTCACCATCGCCAAAATCACCTGGCTGCAACAAGGCTTAGGGCTCGGCGAAGCCCCCTGGAAATACTAAACCAAAAAATGCACCCCTACTCTCCCCTTCATGTTACGCATAATAGAGTCAGGGGCTCTCGAGAATTCGCTGTCATTGACCCCCAGCAGCTTGGGAAACCCAAGCCTGCGATGTCTACTTTTCTCTTATGGCTGGTTTTAACAGCCCCGGGCCAACGGGCCCATGGGCCCGCGGGCCCTCCCGCCCAGAAGACCACCCGTCATGTTGGGTTTGACCCTCAACCCCTCAAGCCCGAAACCAAAACCCCTAAACCCCCTAAACCCCCAAAACCCCCAACCCTACACCGGATATCCCCCAAACCATAAACCACCAAATACAAACCCTAAAACACTCCCTAAACCCAAACCCCCTTTAACCGCCCTAAGAATCGAGACTCTGTCAGGGTGCATGTCTTTGCGTCGGAATCTTCCAGAAAGAAGTGTGGGATAGCTTCAGATCCATCCCGGAGCTGAGAGAACCTTGAGGGCTCAACTGTTCAGGTTGCTGCTTTGCAAGACGCTTTCCGGGCAATTTTCTGGGTGGGTCGTGGGATTTCTGGGTGTGGAAATGGGGGACGCCCATGACATAGCAACTTGACACAATTAAAGAGAAAACGCAATGTATCCCTATCCGTTCATTGTTGTATAAAGTATACTTCAGCTCGAAACCACAGCGCCAAAAAAAACTTGCCGTCTTGCCAGAAAGGCATGTGCTTGGCATCGGGCACTTGCTGGGTCAATTCGGGCGCCTGGGCTGTCTCAGCACTTACGTGAAAGGATTATCAGGGAGGAAAGCTGCAGCATTCAAGATCCTACCCCTTCCAATCCAACTTCGGCACGGTCAGGGCCCGGTGCTCTCGCGACTCTGGTGACCCACGCGAAGTAAGCAAACCTTTGCTTGTGGAGGCATCCTCATGGGAAAATGCACGTCAACAACAAGATTGTGGGCGAATCTCTAAACAGAGCCAGCTCTGATTTGCAGCCCAGGCCGCGCGGAAGATGCAGCAAGTTCGCAGAGATGTGAGGATTGCAAATCAACCTTATCTCTAGCAGTCATCCGGAAGATGCTGCACAGAGATCCGCTCAGAATAGGCACTACTCTGCAACCTAACAGCTCCCGGCAGGTGTTGGCGCAGGCAGCTGGCCATGATCGTCATGGCAGCTGGGACGACATGATTGAGCTCGGCATACGTTGGCGCCGTCACCTCGCTTGAGGCTGAGAGCAAAGCACCCAAAATCGTCTCAATTCAATCACAGGCTTTTGTACTTCTGGGACTGGGCTTCCCTGGTTTGGCCTGGGTTGAGCTTGAATCTAAAGACGCCTAACTAGCACACACATGGTCCATGGGCTCGTACAGCGGGTCTCAGTTTAATGGCGCAAGCGGTGCAACTGCTCCGTCAGAGCAGAGACAGCGCAAGGTCGCCGGGGCCCCAACATCTTTGCCTGCACAACTTCCACTGCAGAACGTTTGACAAGCCGTGGTGACACAATCACATCTTGTGCAGAAGAACTGGCACGGGCGGCCTGCACGTTGCTGGATTGCCGCCTGTGTGACGCAGGCATAGAGCTGCTTGGTGCATTCATTGATCTCACTGTACTCAAAACTCTCCTCTCTCTCCTACCTGCACTCCAGGCCGTGAGTCCCCCCTTGCATCCGTTCATGGGATCATGCATTTGGCACAAGGCTAACCCTACATGTTGGGGTTTTTGCTTTTTGTGGGGCTCCTACTCGTGGAAATCCGCATATGTGACGCAGCATCTGAGTCTGCAGCGTCGAAGGTGATCGGGGAGGCCGCCCTCCTCAGGGCTGGGGGCTTTGTTGCTTCTGTATTCCTAGTGATGTCCATGGGGCTTCAGGATTCGGTCAATTAAGTCACATGGATCTTGGGTCAGCATCTTTGCGTTTGCTTGTAGCATGCCAACTCGGACTGCCCCTCACACACGTCAATACACGTGCACAAGACATGATCCTGTAGCCGACTTTGAAGCAGAGATCAGCCCCGTCAAGCTGAGCTCTGCACCCCAGAGGAAGTCGATGCAGCCACCCAGGGCCTGCAACGGGCTTCAGGGGGCTGCGCAGCACGCTTTGCTACACTTCGCGTCCTGGGGGGGCAGGGGTATTATCTGCCTGCATCCGAAAAACCAGGGATCCGCACTTCCACGGAAGGGCTCAGGTTCAGAAGCTCAGCGGCTCTGCGTTTCGGAAGCTACGTCTACGTTCAACCTGGGTCCTCAATCCCGAATCCCGACCTGCCATCTACATCCTGTCACCTTTCCTGAAGATTCTTGGGCCTAATGACACAAAGCATGGCAACCACCCCGCCTCAACCATCATACCCACACCAGGCTCAAAGCAGCTGTTTCCCATGGCTAAAGAAATCGGCTGCAGCACCAAAGCTGCCCTAAGCAGCCCAGCTATGCCCTACACTGGCCCTAGACCCTAATCTTATCGACGCCCAATAACAGGAATTTCCCTGCTAAGCACGCAACCTGACTCAAACAAGTCGAACTCTATCATCCTGCTCGAATCTCCAGTCACCGATTGCACCTGAATGATTCTGCGTGGAGCTACAACCCTAAAGCTTGAGCCCGGCGTAGACGCTGCGTGCGACTGGCTGGGTTCAATACGCTGTTGGGACGGCGCAGGTTACATGGACATCCTTGAAGGTTCAGCGGGACTATACTGCAAAAGGCTGGTTTGCGCATGGCATTCGAAAGTTTAGCCACACAGAGAACCCGAATTCTGAAGTCCCCGGTTTTAGCGCAAAGGGTTGTTCGTTCAGGGCTCTGGACTACAAAGGCCAACTCAGAATTCAAGATACAAGAACCAAAGTCGCGAGAGCTGTGCTTTCCCAGGTCGCAACCACTTGAGCAGAAGCCTGCTTTCCAACAAGTATCGGTCAAACGCCGTCCAAAGAATACAAGATGTGGAGAACTTAGAACACGGCACATGTAGGCAACAAGGGCAGAAAGGCAGAGCATTGTTGCACGTCTTTCGTGCACCCTTTTGCAACCCGGTAAGGAAGCCGTCTCGAGAATGTAAGGGACGCGCAATACAGAGCGCAAGACGCGCCCGAAGGTTGCCCAGGGAGCCTTATGGAGCCTTGTATTGAATATAGTGTACTCAGAAAGCATAATTGAAAACAGCCCCCAGATCTGCTCCCCCACCTGCTTTCTCTGGCACGTCGTCAGGATCCACGAGTCGTCCACGAAGCCTGGCTTGGAAACCAGTTGCGGGCACCAGCTTGCGTACACCAGACATCAATGCTCATGTACAGACATCACTAGCAGCAGCACCGAACATGCATGTCCTACTTGGTGCCTATCTGAATCTAAGTCCCCCATCATGCTCCATCTGGAGCCCGGGAGACATGCATCACTTGGCCCGAATAGCCACACCCAAACCTGAGAAGTGCCGGGACCCTTCCTGCCCATGCAAAATTTTTATCGCGCACGCGGTAAGAATATGATTCGCGCGGTCTATGATTCGTGCGGTCGCTCTCTTCTTTCTTTCCCTTACATGCAATCCTCACAGCGGTCCCCGTAAAAGCCCAAAGAAAACGAGAAAATAAAGAGAAGGGCTTTTAAGGGAGCGTGAGGACATGAGTGAAAGAGTGAGAGAAAAGACGAAGCGAATGAACGAGCACGCGCTTACTTCGTTCACCTGTTTCGTGTGTTCTCTTCGTGTGTTCTCTTCGTTCACTCGTGAAATAGTAAGGAATCTACGTATACACTGATCATCTTGGCGCTAGCGCAGTCTGACACGTAGGGCAACGATCTAGCACTTCCAGCATCCCAGTTTAAGCAAAAGGTTCTCTTTTTTGTTTTCTTTCTTGGGGGCAAGCGCCGGGCATGAACGCCCCTCGTGGACCCTAAAAGGACTGGAACAGTGCTTCCCCCCCCATCCCCCCCCCCTATTCAACTTTGGCGAGTTCCCCCACTCTGTGCTTCCTGCGCCGACTGTGGGCTGGTGTTGTGAGGGTCCGCACTTTATGTGGAGCGTTTATACTACTACACACCCCCAGGCTGTGGCTTCCCTCGCTTGGTATGAAAGACAATGGGAAACTCCAGTAACGTCAATGAACAACCCCCCTCTAGTTCCCCTGCGAGTTCCCCCACTCCCACATCCTGATGAAGAGGAGGGGACTGTCTGTCTTTTTTTCTCTCTCTGTTCTCTCTGTCTCTCCTTCTTCTTCTGCCGGGCATGGAGGACAGGGCAGAAGTCCCTGAACCTCCGCGCGCTGGGCGCGCCCTTAATGTCACGGTCTGGTCGGCGTGAGACGATAAGAAGTAGGATTGCGCGCGTGCTCACCTCCACAGAAAGGGGTGTTTCGTGATAGGAGGGTGTTCCCCCCCATACAATAAACGGCCGAACATCTTAGGGCACTTGCGCCCAATCCCCGCGATACTTTGATCGAAAATACGAGGAGCGAGCGAGCGAGCTTTCTCGGAAACACCGGACACACAGCCAACAAGTTTATTATCCCCCCACCCGCCCCTCTCGCTGCCATCGGGAAAAAACGTGCACTGATACAAGTTGGGGTCGTGCGTAAGTTGCCCCGCCCTCGAATTATAGTCCCGATGAGCATATGACCGTGAAGGCTTTCCCACAATTTCGGTGGGTCAGCTGTGCTTGTGTTTCACTGAGCGGAACATGGATATATCCCCCTGGCTAGGGGGCGGTATCAGAATGTACAACGATGCTCTAACTTTCACCGTATTTACACAGTCCTGTAAATCTCCCCGCCCCCCCAAAACGAAACCCTCTGTCTCTCCTCTCTCTGTCTCTCTGTGTCTCTCTCGCTGTCTCTCTCTCTCTCTCTCTCTCTCTCTCTCTCTCTCTCTCTCTCTCTCTCTCTCTCTCTCTCTCTCTTTCTTTCTGCGCACTTTGACCCCCCCCCCC